AAACTTTGAATTAGCCACAAAGCCAAAGAACATACATTTTGACTCTCATGTAGATTGAGAAAGGAAGTGGGCATTCTGAACTTGATCTTTCCAGTTTTATTAATGTTACCATTATTTTGTTGAGGAGGCAGATAACCATATTAGCCTACTGTAGCAAAAATAAGGTCTGTTTCTGCTGCTACCGATGCTGTTGTTTGGATCTATTTCAGGTGAATTCTTGTATTCTATGTGCATCTGTTCAGATATCAAGATATGCAAGTGTGGTTTCGGTTTTTCTGCTCTGGGAACTCAAGCCACATCCAATGAAAACAACTTCTACATGCTGAACTCTGCCCTGCTTTCGGCACAAGTTATAAAACATTATAGGAGAAAACTAGATAGAAGTTTATTTCTATTTTCACTGCACTTTGTTCTGATTTTTACTGCCAAATTAATCCATTTCCTTTCATTTGCATGTTGTGTAGGGCATAAAGCAAAACTTCCAGGATTCCTAAACCTCATCCTTTCCAATTGCATCCAAACTACGAGGCTATGGTTTAATATTTGACTAGTAAACAAGGCACATCCTTAGACTGACCCTGGACCTGAGTCCCCATCCCGCATTTAAACACCAATGCTTAAATGCTTTATCCTAAGATGAGACCGTGAGAATAAAGGCCTTCTTCCTTTTTTCTGGTCAGTCATTCTTCAAACACACGAACACTGAAGACTAAAGTGTGGTTTTAGTTTGCCATTCATCCCAAACAGTGTATATAGAATGATCTTTCCTCTTAATCATTAATGTCTAATAGTGATTGTTACCATCAAGTCATTACACTGTTTGTGGAATTAATCTAGGCATGAGCAAACTTAGGCCCTCTGGGTGTTTTGGACTACAAGCTGTTAGGAATTGTGGGAGTTGAAGTCCAAAACACCCGGAGGGCTGAAGTTTGCTCATATCTAGATTAAACAGAATACTCACCCTGTCATTTTACATTATCCTTGTAGATGAAATAACAAAAGAGAAGCATACAATCTTTTTCAGAATCCACAGTGAATAAACCAGCTGCCTGTTGGCCAAATTTATTTTGTCTTAAAGACCACTCACTAGTAATGTTTCTATCTGCTGTCTTGCTGTCTTGTAACAACATAGCTAGCTCCCTTATTATTAAAAAAGGAATAAGTAGCATGTTTTTTCTGCTTTAATTTCAACTCCAGAGCCAAATAGTAAAATGATCTAGACCAGGCTATACCTATCTTTTTATCCTGGAAATATCCTTAAAATAATTTTCAGTTCACAAGAAACCCTGCATAAAAGATGGGGGGGTTTGTATGTGTGTCAGGAGTGCCTTGAGAAACTGCAAATCACTTCTGGTGTGGGAGAATTGGCCGTCTGCAAGGACATTGTCCAGGGGATCCATGGATGTTTTACTATCCTGTGGGAGGCTTCTCTCATGCCCCTGCACGGGAAGCTGTAGCTGACAGACGGGAGCTGACTTGATTCAAACTGCCAACCTTTTGGTCAGCAGTCCTGCCAGAACAAGGGTTTAACCCATTGTGTCACTGGGGGCTCATAAAAAGATGTTGTACCTACAGCTCACGGAAATGATTTAGCCTGCCAAGTGTGCCTTTATTCAATGCAGGTCAATGGACTATTCAATTTTGGTTGTATAAAACATGTTATATCTACAGCTCACAAATGTTTGCTTGCTTTTTTAAATGATATTTTGTGAAACTCCTAGCAACCAGAAGTGAATAGTCCATTGGCCCATACTGAATTAAGACACACTTAGCAGGCTAAACCATTTATGTACAGGTCTCAAGAAACCCTGCAACAATATTAGCCTACAGGTCAAAAACGTTTTTTTTTATTTACAATACTTTTGGAACTCCTAACAATCTCTTGCAATATTCTAGAATTTTGGGAAACCCTGGTTGGTAAATCCTGATGTAGATATTAATACTGAGCCAAAAGAATGTGAAGAACATGGTATATGTGCCACAAATGCCAGTTATGTTTCCATCCTTGAAATTAAGCAACCCTCAAAACATTGCCTGATCTTGTACATGTGGGGGGGGGGAGTGTGTCCCCCCCCCCCCCAGAATAACCATTCTTTCTGAGTCTTAGGACTTTCAACTGGGAAACTGTTTACTCTTTTTAAATCATTTTACTGGGGATTAAATGTTGGATATTTACCAAACAAAATGGGTGGGATAAACTTTAGGAACTATAACCATAGGCTTTTTTTCATGTCACGAGCAACTTGAGAAACTGCAAGTCACTTCTAGTGTGAGAGAATTGGCCGTCTGCAAGCACATTGCCCAGGAGATGCCCGGATGTTTTATCATCCTGTGGGAAGTTTCTCTCATGTCCCCGCATGGGAAACTGGAGCTGACAAATGGAAGCTCATTCCACTCTCTGGATTCAAACCACCAACCTTTCAGTCAGCAGTCCTGCCAGCACAAGGGATTAACCAATTGCACCACCGGGGACTCTCATAAGTAAGGAGTAAGGGATTTATGGTGGGATTTCAACTCATTAAGGTATATGAGGGGTTAACATGTTTTGTGATTGGTCCCATCGCAGGCCATAGTTGTGGATTAGTTTGCTATCTCGTTCTCCAAAAATAGCTGAAAACCAGAATGACCTTTCCATTCTGTCTCCTGAAGATTTGGATGCGATTCAAAAGCTCATGTACCTTCTTCTAGTCACATCAACACTAATTATTCCTACATTTGTTTTGAAATTATTATTACCAAGAAAGGTATACTTGCACGGTTGGATCAAAACTCAGTCACATTTTGAATATGCTTCAATGAAATTGCTGCTAAAATTGATGTCAGTGATTCTTTACTAAATATAGCTGTCTGGATTTAGCTCAATGGTTGACTTCAGGCTGGCCTTCTCTTTCAAATGATGCTGTTGTCAAGAAAAAAAATACAGAAAAAATAGAATAATCACATTTTGTGTCTTTCACTTTATAATATTTGACCCAAAGGATTTGGAAGGAGGCTGAAAAATGCAAAATCAAAAAAGGTGGTTTTCTTAAGTTCCACTTTTATTGTAGCTCCTCAAACTCCCCACCCAGTTGTTGTCCAAAAACAACTTTTCCTGTTTCTAAAAGAAGGTAAAGTAAAGGTAAAGGTTTCCCCATGACATTCAGTCTAGTTGTGTCCAACTCTGGGGGATGGTGCTCACCTCCATTTCTAAGCCAAAGAGCCGGTGTTGTCTGTAGACACCTCCAAGGTGATGTGGCCAGCATGACTGCATGGAGTGTCGTTACCTTCCCAGTGAAGTGGTACCTATTGATCTACTCACATTTGCATGTTTTCGAAATGCTAGGTTGACAGAAGTTGGGGCTAACAGCAGGAGCTCACCCCACTCCCTGGATTTGACCTTTTGCTTAGCAAGTTCAGCAGATCAGCAGTTTAAACTGCTGCACTACCAGGGGCTTCTTCTAAAAGAAACGGATACATAAAACAAGGCATTAGGTGCAGAAAGATTTCTAATGGAAGTAAACAACCCTGCCCAGACTGTTGGTTACAACTGTGAGTTTCAATGGGTAATACATAAATTCTCAATTATAGAGCTCTAGTGCCTCACCAAACCACACATCCTGAGACTTCATAGGAGTCCGGCATTAAAGTGGAGCCTTAGTGCTATAATTGTTTAGTGTTAAAGCTTTCCTGGATGATAGTTATAATGTCTGTGACAAATTGACGGCACTCAAGCACTCATTCCTATCCTAAGTACAGTATTTTAATGGTGTAATTGTAATCCCAGGATCCTAAAGTACTGAGTCACAGCAGTCAAAGTGCTATCAAACTGCAGTAATTCTACAGTGCAGATGCACCCATAGCCTAAAAGGAGTGGAAGCGGAAAAGGTAATGAAAAGGATCGAATCCTAAGCTAATACTGATTGCCATTTTAAATGCTTTGCTATCTCTGGAAAGGAGAAACAAAAATATTTACAGATAAAGAACAGGATTGCATAGGAAAGGCATTGAAATAGCCCATCTCGCTTTGATTCTCACTGCCTCATCCTCTCATACACATCCGCATGCAACAAAATGATATTGCACATGTATATATTTATTGTATTTGTAATTCCATGGACTGGGTTACTAAAACAATCCAATTGACTTTAATGTACAAGAATCCAGTCACAATGAACAGGCTTACAAAGAAACAAACAGGTGTTAGGCTATCAAGTATGTGGAAAAGATACATCATGAATAAACAGGTGCAGGGCTATCAAACTGAGTAAATACGGTGTATAACAGTTGAGTGTTATCAAACTTAGCAGTATAATGTTTTGATAAGCCCTTCCCTTCTGGCAATATACTAGTATCATGCTCAGCCCACTGTTGTCTTTATTCACGGCTTTTGATTATTTACGTAGTGCTTCAAAGGCTTGCTTCAGCAAGTCAGCAAACATGACTCCATCTCATCATTTTTCAGCTTTCTTAAACAAGAGTATTTGCCTCAAACCAAAGAGAAAGCAGAAGTTGGAACAAGTATTGATTGGTTGACAACACTCACAGTCCCTTAGTAAGTGTGCTGGCTGGGCAAATTCGGAGAATTGTGTTCCCCAAAAGTAATTTTACAAATCTCTGAGAGAAAGAAAATATTACAGAGAAGGGGAGCAGATGGATTAGATATTAGAAGAGTATACTAAATGCCCCAAAGGCACAAGATCCCATCTGATCTTGGAAGGGAAGTAGGGTCAAGCTTGGTTGAATGGGGGGACCACCAAGGAATACCATGTGCTGTATTACAGAGGAAAACAATGACAAACCATATCAGAATATCTATTGTCGAAGGCTTGCATGGCTGGACTCACTGGGTTGTTGTAGGTTTTTCAGGCTGCATGGCCATGTTCCAGAAGCATTATCTCCTGACATTTCACCTACATCTATGCCAGGCATCCTCGGAGGCTGTGAGGTCAGTTGCAAACAAGGCAAGTGAGGTTTATATACCTGTGGTATGTCCAGGGTGGGAGAAAGAACTCTTGTCTGCTTGAGACAAGTGTTAATGTTGCAATTGGCCACCTTAATTAGCATTTAATGGCCTTCCAGCCTCAAAGCCTGGCTGGTTGCTGCCTGGGGATCCTTTGTTGGGAGGTGTTAGTTGGCCTAGATTGTTTCATGTCTGGAAAACTCTGAAAACAGAGGAATTCCCCCGGCAGGAATCAGTCAGGCCTTGAAACTTTGCAATGCTAATCAAGGTGATTAATGGCAATACTCACACTTGCCTCCACCAGACAAGAGTTCTTTCTCCCACTCCGGACATTCCACAGATATATAAACCCAATTTTCCTAGTTTCCAACAGACCTCACAACCTCTGAGGATGCCTGGCATAGATGCAGGTGAGACGTCAGGAGAGAATGCTTCTGGAACACGACCATACAACAATCATACAACAACTCACCTCAGAATATTCCTTACCCAAGAAAACCCTTTGAAATGAATGGAGCAAGTGACTTGGGAAGCCCATACAAACACACAGCCAGAAAAGAAAAAGAAGCAATCAGCTCAAAGACCATTTGATACTTCCTCACATTCCTCATCATCCATAATGCTTAATTTTTTTTGACTCAAGTGCCGTTGGGCTTGACTTGGCCAAAGAAACCTCAAGGCCCGCCCAATGGTATGGCCAAAAGCCGTCAATCGCACCACAAGGTCCTCACTAGCCATCAGGTACAGCAGAGGGTTCAGGGCACTATTGAGGCTGGCCAGGCCTCGGGTCACTTGGTAGGAGACATAGATGTTCCTTAAAGTCTGAGAGCAGGAGCCCTGGAGTTGCCACCTGCGGGACTGCAAGTTTAGGTTCCGAAAGATATGATAAGGGAGGAAACAAACAGAGAAAAGCACCAGCACCAGCACCACCAAAGTGATACTCCTACGCTTGAGGATGGGATCCACATTTTGGTTCCTCCGAAGGACCACCACCACATGACAATAGCATCCAGTGGTGATAAGGAAAGGGATGGCAAATCCAGTCATGGTGATAGTCAGGATATATGGCATGTACGTGTCTAGGTTCTCATGGTGCGTCGTGTCATGGCACCTCACACCAGCCCGGTCCATTTTGCTGAAGCTGAAGTCAGGTGCCAACTGGATGAGAACCCAAACCCAAACCAAGACACTGAGGGAAACAGAAGGACTGAGAGTCTGGCACCTGCCCAGCATCTTCAGCGGGTGGACGATGCCCAAGTAACGGTGGACACTGATACACGTCAAAAAGCCAATGCTGGCATAGAGGTTGAGGTGGAAGAGGAGCCTAGTCAACCTGCACCAGCCTGGGCCAAAGACCCACACGCGACCCTGGAGATAGTAGGACACCAGGAAGGGCAAGGTCACTACATACAGCAAGTCAGCTACCCCTAAGTTGCACACCAGCACCCCCAAGGCATTCCAGCCACTCTTCCGCGAGGTGGCACACAAGTTCCACAAGCCCACTCCATTCCCCAAAAGCCCCATCAGGGACACCACCAGGTAAAAAGCAGGCAGGAACCACTGGGTGAAGTCTGTGTTGACCGGGCACAGGATCTCGATGTTCCTGGTGGGAGCAAGACTTGAGTTGAGGGCAAGGCCAACAGTGGCTCCTTCCTCCAGGTCCATGATCAGGAAGGTAACAGGAAAGGTAGTCAAGGGAAGAAGCAGACACTCCAGAAACCTAGAAATCTAGGGAAGGAGTTGGAAGAGGAACAAGGTCCGTGCAAGAAGGACATCTGGAGCTTCCAAATGAAGGTGTGGCAGTGGAGGCATCATGCCATGGGCAGTGCCAGGAGACTCCCGAGAGAAGGCAAAACAGGTGCAAACGTTTTTCTTTCCATGGCCCTTCCAAGGTAGATCTTCCAAGGTGGGAAAGAGCGGAGCTGGGGGGATCCTGCTCCCCTGAGCTTGGAGACCTTTTGGGTCCACCTCCGTCCTCCGAACTCTCAGAAGTCTTCTCTGGCTGCAGGGCAAAGCGTTCGCCTTCCGACGTGCCTGCCAGATGCGTGTTGGGGCGCCTGGCAGGCTCTCCGGCTCTAAGCCTTCGTGGGTCGGAGAGCAGCTCTCTCCCGGCGCACCGAGGGCTGCCCAAGCAACGCTGGGACTGGAGCAGACGGCAGCAATTTGGGATGGAGGGGTTGGGAGAGAGGAGGGGGAGGGGGAGGCCATCCCGGAGGAATTGGGCGGGGCCAGGAAAGGAAAGGAAAGGAAAGAGGAGGAGAAGTTTGTTGGTGGGGCAAAACCTGGCCGGGGGTGAAGTGGGGGAGGTGGACTTTCCCGTCCCTTCGATTACGTGATGCTGCCACTATTTGCTTCTCTTTGCAGCACTCCCATCCTGCACTCTGTGTGGCTCACCTGGGAGATAGCATGTCCTTAGTAAAGTCTGGAACTGGAACTTCTTTGCGGGCCACGTCCCCAGTTTCCGCCACTTGTTGGTGGGATGGGAATAGGGAAAGCAACTGAATTGGGACTCAGCTGCCTCCTCCTGCGTTATCGTCCCATACCTACCTACTACTTCATCACACTAGAGAAAAAGATCCACTGAAAATCCGGTTTCTGCCTCCTGCAGAATTCTGGGGTTTGTAATTTAGTGAGGCTGTTAAAGGTTCTTCCCTGAACTACAAACCTCAGAATTCTGCAGGAGGTAGAAACTGGATTTTAAGTGGATTTTTACTTACTTACTTAGGTGATCCCTCGTAGCTCGAGGATGATAGCCTTGCAGATGTGGTATCTTGGCGGTTGGTCCGTAGGTAGCTGTGGAACCCTGTTCTTCCACAGTGACGAGCTCGGTTTCCAAGTGGCTTGATGCGCCTTCCTCTTGGCACGTTTCTCCCTTTCACCCTCTGTTCGTGCCTCTTCAAATTCTACAGCACTGCTGGTCACAGCTGACTTCCAGCTAGAGTGTTCAAGGGCCAGGGCTTCCCAGTTCTCCATGTCTATGCCACAGTTTTTAAGGTTGGCTTTAAGCCCATCTTTAAATCTCTTTTCCTGTCAACTAACATAACATTTATCATTCTTGAGTTGAGTGTAGAGTAACTGCTTTGGGAGATGGTAATCAGACATTTGGACAACATGGCCGGTCCAGTGGAGTTGACGGTGAAGGAGCATTGCTTCAATGCTGGTGATCTTTGCTTCTTCCAGTGGACTGACATTTGTCCACCTATCTTTGCAAGAGATTTCCAGGTTTTTTCAGAGGCAACGCTGATGGAATCATTCCAGGAGTTGTGTGTGACGTATGAAGACAACCACATTTCACAGGAATATAGCAGGGTTGGGAGGACATTGGCTTTATAAACAAGCACCTTGGTCTCTCTATGAATGTCCCGGCCCTACATACCTACACTGTGGACATAGATCGGTGTTTCTCAACCTTCCTAATGCCACGACATTAGGAAAAATCAATCTGCAACTGAGGACAGCAATCCATTTCTATCTCCTTTTTGTGATCAAGAACCAAAATGGCAATTCTGAAAACCAAGAGCTGGATTTTGTATAGAAATGATAGGAAGTGGACAAGGACAGCCTTAGGAAGATCAAGTTTAATTACAGTGGTACAGATTGTATCCCAATTAGGACATCCAAGTACTGATTTTTTTTTACTACCCAGGAAAGTAATCCATATATTAAAATAACAAAAAGATTGCCTTTTGTGTACAAAGGATGTTTACAAAAATGTGTTGTTAAAGGTTTTCATGGCCAGAATCACTGGGTTGCTGTGAGTTTTCTGGGCTGTATGGCCATGTTTCAGAAGCACTCCAAGCATTTCACCAACATCTATGGCAGGCATCTTCTGATGTTGTGAGGTCTTTACAAATATAATTTTCTGGTTTTCAATATCTGTCCATGCTGGGACATAATATTTTCACCTGCTACTTCAGTACATAGACTGAACTACTGCCACTTCTCTGAGTGGTGAGAAAATGCCACTATTTTCAATTTTCTACCTGCAACACCGTTTTCATCACTGTAACAATATATGATAAACAATTTTCAGAAAACCCTATGTGTCAAATTCCTGCCCCTGGACACGATTCAGTTCTTGAATTCTGAAAGGTAGACAGAAAGGATTTTGAGTGTTTTCAGGAAAAGCTGCTTATTTGGATCACATGCCTTCGTCAAAGCATAGCAAAACATTACAAGCAATTGTTCTTGAGTCAAATCTGCTTTTGTGGGTCCCTGGCAAGAGATGAAAAATAGACCCCCTTCCTCCAAGAGGCCTCACTCCCATAATCACTTACACAGTTGAATTTGCAATCTGCTACAAGTGAGCCAGCTATTATTGCAGAGCAGGTATGGCAAGTATGACTGAGACTTAGTGCTCTCTTCTTTGCAGTCCCCAGATGAGAGCAATTGCAACTTCATCAGGCTGCCTAGTTTTATGGATAGGATCAATTAAAATTGCCACTCTCCATGGTTGCCTAGTGTGAAGGTGGTAATGGCCTCTTGCAAATTGTGCTAGCCTCATAAGACAGATAATCTTGTCACACCCCCTGCAATATTTCAGAGATGAATTGGAAAACAAGCAATATCAGACTGTTGTCGAAAGCTTTCGTGGCCAGAATCACTGGGTTGTTGTGAGTTTTCAGGGCTGTATGGCCATGTTCCAGAAGCATTCTCTCCTGATGTTTCACCCACATCTAAGACAGGCATCCTCAGAGGCAAGTGGAATTTATATCTCTGGAATGTCCAACAGACCTCACAACCTTTGAGGATGTCTGCCATAGATGTGGGTGAAAAGTCAGGAGATAATGCTTCTGGAACATGGCCATACAGCCCAGAAAACTCACAATAACCCAATATCAGAGATGACAAATATTATAGATGAGAAGACCATGCATGCAAGGTGGGAGAAGCTGCAACAGTGTGCTTTTCCCTGAGTTGACTAGGAAGGGCAAATTTCTGCCCCTCCTTTCTTCTTTCCCACGCTGAGTTAATTGAGTACAAACTATTTTTGCACTTTGCCCTTGGTGTACAGCATTGAAAGTGAGTTGGAGACAAATTGGGAGAAGGAGAGAGAAACTGGAACATTTCAAAAGCATGCAAAAAGTAGGATGGCAGAAGATTAAACAGGACCATCCCTACCAAATTGAGATAGTTGGAGAGAATGTTGTCACCATCTAAATCTTCTGCATAGTATATACCCTTTACTCTTTTGGATGTTATTTCCCAGGATTCTCTAAAATTGGGAAATTCTCTGAGTTGTAGTTCAGAAAGGAAACTTTTCTAAACAGTGATGATATGAAGTCATGTATGTTGAATCCCTATTGGCTAGTGTAATGATAGGGGTACAGGAGTTTAGGAGCATTTTTGCAATCACATTTATCAATTTTAAGCTTAGGAGAAGGCCAAAAAATAGTGGTGAGGAATATAACAAAAATGCCCATGTTCTCTAGATGACGTTTTGGGGCAAAAGTAACTAATCTGGACCCTGAGATGTTCTGGAGGCACAGAAATGGCCTGTAAGCTGAACTTTACCTACCCCTGATGTAGATATTGGTGATGATACTTTGACACTGTGACAAAGGGGGAATGGTGATGAAAGTCAATTCTATCAAGAGAGAAATCTGCCTCTTTAATTCCTAACCCTCTTAGGAGCTTGCAGGGTACCTTTCACCCCTGGTATTTTCTGCCATTGTCCCACCACCTATTTGCACTACTCTGTGGTGTAATGGACTATCATACTGGCATAAGGCACTGACATGATGCCTGTGTAAGCCTTACAATTTTTTTCAGAATCTTATGTAAAGGTAATTTTTTCTTGTAGCACATTTCCTCAACAGAAAGTCCAGAGGTAAGCAAAACTCCTATCCATCAGGATATATTATATGTATACTGGGTTCATTCTTCCCTTGTTTCAACACACAATTAGTCATATCGGTTACATATTTAAGGGAATTGCAATTAATTAATTAATTAATTAATTAATTGAGTATCTATGTGTTGATTGATCAATGTGATTTGCACACATTTCCATGTAATTTTTTTTTTAAAAAAAAACCAGTATCTCCAATGCAAGGAGACTTGCTTTTCTTTGAAATGATACCACCCTGCTGGTAATATCAACCTAAAAAAGTTTCCATCTGCATGTGAGAGAAACAAAAGATGCAGAAGGGGAACTGAAATGATCAAAAAACAGGTACATTTTTTTGCCAGGAAGGGATACAAATTTGAAGAGTTTATCTTCCAAGGAAATATGATGGGGAAAATATGGCAAAGATATATAAAGTGGGAGCTCTATAAGTTATTGCATAGATTTTGTTTCTGTGGATCATGAAAAATTTAGATCATCTTAAAGAAATAGTTATGCTATAACAATTCATTGTCTTGATGCATAATCTGTACTTAAGAGACCACAATTAGAACAAAATATGAAAAGACATATTTGCAAGACGGTCAGGCAAGGCTGCAATTTAACACCTTGTTTAACTTGTACACTGACAGTATCATACGCAGAATTGAATTAGACTCTGAGAAATGAGGTGTGAGAATCAAAGGACGGAACATCAACAATTTAAGGTACATAGATGATGCCACACTATCAGCAGAAAATAGCAAATACTTGGAAGAATACTACAGAAAATCAAAGAAGAAAGTGCAAACAAAGTTGACCTTAGGTAATTTGCAGAACTGTAAGCTCTAAAGCAGTCAATGAAGACAGTGAGATAGGGAAAGATTTGTTGTACCTTGACTGAGTCATTACTCAGAATAGAGACTGCAGTGAAGAAATCAGAAGATTAGGATTTGGAAGGGCCGCTTTGAATGAACTAGACTGAAGTGTAAAGATGCATCATTAAATACAAAAGCCAGAATGGCCATGCCATTGGTTTTCCAATTTCTATGTATGGTTAC